AGGGTGGGGAATGGGGGAGCAGGGTTAACGGAGGGTGGGGAATGGGGAACAGAAAATAGGGCAATGTTAATTGGGAATGGCAGCAGCTTAATGAATGGTATGGAATGGGAGTAGGGTTAGCAGGGAATGGGAGCACGGTTAATGGGGAATGGGGCATGGCAGTGGCTTGCTGCCTACATTTTTGAAGGAGTGAACATTGGTAATGTTGTGCTGTGCTGCTGTACTGTTCCATTCCACCAGGTGGAGCCCAGAGCACACTGTTAGGAAGCTGAAGTTTTCAATTGAGTCGAGGTATTCTGGATTCTCCCTGTCTGTCAATGATGACTGGATACAATTTCAATGAAGCTTTCCCATTCCCAAGCAAGTGTGATAGGGAACAGCTCTGACCTTCTACCTCCTGTAACTGCAGTTCTTTGTTCACTCTTCTTTTTCCCACAGGCCTTTGTGGAGAACTACCCACAGTTTAAGAAGATGTCAGGGACTGTGTCCAAACATGTCACAGTGGTTGGAGAGTTATCGCGATTGGTCAGTGAGCATCACTTGATGGAGGTGTCTGAGGTGGAGCAGGAGTTGGCCTGTCAGAATGACCACTCCAGTGCCTTGCAGGTGAGAGAGGGGAGGGAGAGAAGGGTGGGACTATTGGAGTGACCACTCTAGTACATGGTCCAGAGGGAGGGAAGGAGGACAGAGCGGGATACTGAGAAGTTCCACTCCAGTGCCCTTCAGGAGTGGGAGGAGAACAGAATGGGTGTGTAAAGCAAGTGGTTGGAGGCAGGAGAAGGATAGACCATAGCAGCATGATCCTTGAACAAAGGCATCTTGTTTCATCGCTTGCTTCATCATGTCAGCAGCAGGCAATTCTGAGAGGAGCCAGGAGAGAGGGTAGTCTGATTCCCAATGTCTGTCTATCCTGTGGGTTTTTAGTGGGCTGATACCCTGTTCCATTTAACTTTGTGCTGTGCACAGCAGCAAGAATACTATGCTCCAGTCTGATGGCCAAGACATTAATGCACTTGTTATACATCTATACTTCATGAAGTGTGTGTGTTGAGGGTTTGGTAGTTCTGTGTCTAAGATCAGGCCTGAGCAGGAGCAGAGGATCAAGTGGGTGGTGATAGTGGGGTATTGAGCAGGGGGACTGATAGTGAAAGCTCCTGCTTCCAGTCTTGGTGCTGGGCGAGAAGTTTGGAGACGATGGAACTGTTTATTAGCAGGCCTGCCTGTTAATGGACACAAGCAGGGAAAGTTTCAGAACAGGCAGAGTGAATCAGCCCATGTACCCAGTGCAGGGCCAAACCCAGGTTCAGATGTATTGCTGATGCTGCAGGCCTCGATGAGGGGGAGTCCTTCACGCAGTAAGATGTGAAATTGTTGCACTGCTTGAAGGGCAGCGACAGGGAGTGTGTTTATCAGATCCGGGAGAGACCTTGCAAGAGCTCAAATTGATACATAGAGGCACACTCTTTCTTCACACTGTCTAATCTGTGCGCTGATTGTCTTGCACTGTTGCAGTTTCTGCGGCCTCCCACACATTCCACTGCTATTGACTGTAAGCGGGCTGTGAGCAGCTAACTCAGAACAGACCACAAGTTCCAACACTTAGCCCCATCTCCTTAGAGCTGAAACCAGTCTCAGTTTGACAGAAACTCTCCTGCTCCAGGCAGGAAGCTGTCACAACTGCTTGCTTTTCTGATACTCAACAGATCACAGAATTGAAATGGTCTGCCTCAGGCCCACCATTCTCGCCACTGAGTTGAGAGTTTAATTTACTCCAGGGCTTTGAGCACTTAACGTAGGCAACAATATAGTGCAGTACTGAGGATGCACTACAACATCAGGGGCCAGGGGTCAGTGCTCAGGGCGCACTACAATCCCGGGAGTAAGTACTGGGCACTCTACAATGTACTGAGGGAGTTCTGCAGTGTCGGAGGCTCAGAGCTGAGGGAGTGCCGCACTGTTGGTGGATCAATAGTGAGGGAACACTGCTCTACCTAAGGTCCTGGTTAATAATTTTCCATCAGTTTGTATGTATGACTGATGATCTGGCTATGTCTGATTACTATGACTGAGTTCTGCCTGTACTGCTGCCTGTATAATGATTGCTGCAATTCCTACATGACAACAATGTCTGCACTTCAAAACTAAACTATTGCCTATGAAGTAGTTTGGGCCATCCGAGAACTGTATCTGTACACCTTTTTTTTCCAGGGAAGCCTATCACCTAGCCTGCCTTCTCCTGATTGCTGGGTCTGGCTGGAGCCTGATTGGTCAGGGTGGCATGGTGACTGAGTGGTAAGCACTGCTGCCTCACAGTGCCAGGGACCTGGGTTCAATTCCACATTTGCATGTTCTCATGGGTTTCCTCCAGGTGCTGTAGTTTCCCCCCACAGTCCAAAGATGTGCAGGTTAGGGTGGATTGGCCGTGCTAAATTACCCATAGTGTCCAGCCTAGGTGGGTTAACCATGGGAAATGCAGGGTTACAGGAATAGGGTAGGGAGCAGTGGGTCTGGGTATGATGCTGTTCGGAGGTTTGATATGACTCGATGGGCTGAATGGCCTGCTTCCACACTGTAGGGATTCTATGCTCGCTGGCAAAATGAACAGAGTTGTTTTGTGTATGGTATGCCCCTTCTCACCCAGTGATCAAACATCCTGCCTCTTGCTGCTTGCTTCAGGAAATTTGCTACTTCCTCTCTTTTGAAACTCCTGTTAGCAAGTTTAAGACTTTTGTCCCACAGCTCTTCCCCGGGGGAGGAGAGGGACTAATCTCTTGTTATCCTTGTTCACATCCTTCCCAGACAGTTCAAAAGCTGTAGTTTTTGTCACCTGTGGCTGCTGCTATCTCCGATGCTGTTAATCTATATCTACCTCTAAGCTCTGGTTCCTGGTACAAGATGAGAACCAGAGTCCCTGACAGATAAATCGTTGATTTAGCCTGGTCTATTTCTTGCAGGTACTTGCTTTAACTGTCTTGCTTACTTCCGTTCTCGTTGCTGTTCTATGATTATCCTCATGATGCAGAATAATGTCAGCTTATTTATGGAGATGTTGTTTCATAGTGTGCTGGGTTACCCCACACTGTACATCTTCTGTTGCGCTTTGGCAGCAAGCCAATGCCACTGACCTTCAGCCCATCTCTGCAACATGTTTCCGGCCAGTTTGCATTAAGAATAGGAAACATTGTTGACATCCTGTTATGTGATCTGTGCTCCTTTATTCTGCTCTCCTGACACCAACAATCGCCTCCACCGCCCACCTCCAACCCATCCTCCCCACCTCCTGGTACATGTATGTCACCCCTTCCCCCCCGCATTACGTCCAAACAGCCTTGTTATTTCTGATCAGAGTTCAGCAGTCTCTGCAATTACTTCATTTTGTTTCTAAGCAGACTTGGTGCTGCCTGACTAGAACTAGACATGAATATCCATTACTGTTAAATAACCTTTTCCTTCCATTCTCTTCAGTATACAATCTACAAGAGGTACGAGTACACAGAGGGTCGTTACTCTGTATCTAACCTGTGCTCTACCTGCCGTTGGTGTGTTTGATGGGGATGGTGTAGCAGAAGCTTTACTTTGTTTAAAAGAGTAGAAAGAGGGATCTTTACTTCTGATCTGTTGAAAAGTCCTTTCCTTCATTAAATCCTATGACAGTGGAGGTGCTGTCATTGTGTCATGTGCCAATTTTGTCACTGAATATGTTAACACACTGATTGCTTGTGGTCTGCTATTTTGTAAAACTGTCTCTACGAGCTGGAGAAAAGCAGAAACACTTAATGGTGAGTTCTTTGGCTTTAAAGCTTAGCTGAAGCGGTTCTGTGCTGTATAACTCTGTGTTTGCGTGCAGCTTGCAGTGTATGGAGGGAAGCATTGTGAATGTTTTCCATGTGAAACACACCCCCTAATTCTCTGCAGGGATTAGATGGCTGCATGTAGTAACAAGGTTTGTGGGTCAGAGAGTGAGGATTTGAACCTGACTCTAATCCAGGCTGAGAAGGTATGCAGGGCAGCAATGGAATGCTGCGCTGCCAATGATGCCATCTTACCCAGAACCTGTCTGCATCCGGTACTTGTTCTGGTGAATGATGAAGATCTCGGAGCTTCAGCAGAAGGAGAGAAAAGAGTTCTCCTGCTGGGTATCCAAGTTAGAATTTCTTTCAAATTCAAAAACTATATTAAAAACAATAAAAGGGTGGATGCTGGAGATCTGAAATATAAACAGAAAGTGCTAGGGCAGCACAGTGCCTCAGTGGTTAACACTGCTGCCTGACAGCACCAGGGACCCAGGTTGGATTCAACCCTCGGGCAACTGTCTATGTGGAGCTTGCACATCCTCCCTGTGTCTGCATGGGTTTCCTCCCACAGTCCAAAGATGTGCAAGTTAGTTGGATTGGCCATGCTAAATTGCACCATAGTGTGCAGGGATGTGCAGGTTAGGTGGGTTAGCCATGGGAAACATGGGTTATGGGGACAGAGTGAGGAGGTGGGGGAGTGTGCTGGGTCAGGGTGTATGGCTGTTTGGAGGGTCAAAGCAGACTCGATGGGTCGAACAGCCTCTTTGTGCACTGCAGGGATCCTATATTTCTATGTTTCCATCCTATGTGATGCCTTAAGTCTGAAATGAATCTTCAGAACTGCTACTTTAAATGGAATATGGCTTTGGCTGTACTGAGTTTATATTTGCACGTGGATTAACGTGTTCTGTGGTGAATTCTGGGATACTGTTAAGCTGGGCAAATAACATTCACTTTCAGGGAACTATTATCTGAGCATCATCAGCAGTATTATCTATTTATATATGAACAATTAAGAATGACAGACATCTAAAGGCCAGTTAATCTTTTCAATATACATTCATGATAACTGCAGCAGACACCACCTACTCTCTGCCTTCCCTGCTTGCAGACATGTCATTGTTAATAACAGGAAATCAAGATAAACCATGAACACTTAGGGAGAGAAAGTTCTTGCTACTTTCTCTCTAACTCCTGCAGATGATCCAAATCTATCCAGACATTCACCATGCCTACATTAAGGAAAAAAATGTCTACGTTAAATGTCAATCCACTTAACTCTTTATGATATGACCTTTTAACAGTTTCCTCAGTACTCACCATAAAAATAAGCCTGACTCACTGTGGTAGGAATCAAAATGTTTGTGTGGTCGATGTATGTGAACATGTTGGTGTTTTGCACACTGCTTTGTATTTGCAGCAGAGAAACAGGCCATTCTGACCACTGGTCTCCATCTGCATCGTGAGCCGACCCCGTACTGCCGTTTTTCATCTCGACCTATCAGCAAATCCTGCTGCCTGTGATAGGACGTGTGATTCTCTGTTACTGAGTAGGCAGTCCACCCACTACTCCAACCTGATCAATAGCAGGGACGTAGAAAATAGGAATAGGCTGTTTGGCTCCTTGAGACTGCTGTACCATTCAGTAGATCATGTCTAATCTTCTACCTCATCAGCATTTTCCTCCACATGATCCTTATATTTCAAGATATCTTTAAATCTAAGAAATCTATGAATCTGTATCTTGAAACTACTCAATGACTGATTTTCCACAACCTACTTGGGTAGAGCATTCCAAAGATTCACCACCCT